AGCTATGTCAGCAGATGCGAAAGGCTTGGCGCAGAAGCGAGACCGCACATGCGATAGGAGATCGCAGAAGTGGGTACGCAGCTGCGCGGGGGAGACCGCAGAAGCGGGAGGTCGGGACTTAAGTGAGGACTGCAGATGCGGGCCTTTGATCGCAAAAGTGGAGCCGCCGATGCGGCAGACTATTTTCAAATGCGGAATTGCTGGGCAGACTTTATATTTTGAAGGGTTTGGTCATTTTTCGTTATTTGGAGTTTTGGAGCTCGGTTGGAGGCAATGTTTGGGATAATTATCACTACAATTGAAGAGGTAAGTGAAGTTTACCTAATTTTGATGTTAGATATTGATTACACATGGATTATTGCACATAGTTTATGCGAATTAAAGGTGAAATTTGGGAATTTTTTACTATGGTTTTGGAGAGTGAAAATTGATGATTTGAGTGCCGATTTGAGGTTGGTTTTAGATGAAACACATATATTTGGACTCTTATCGGAATGGGTGTTCGGAATTTGTAAGTTTATACGGGTTCCGGGTTGCAAGTCCGAGTGACTTTTTGGGTTGACTATACAAATTTGAATCAAGATCTTAGATTTATGGTTTGGGGTTGTTTGTTATGGCTTTTATTGATGATATCAAGTTGTTTTTGCTAGATTCGAGTCGCTCGGAGGTCGATTTGCGTGCGAAGGACTTTTTGGAGTATTGATTCACACATTTTGAGGTAAGTAACATATCTAAACTTGGTTTGAGGGTAATTATCTCTGTGAACTTTGATACTTGAGATGTGTTGGGGTGACGCATGTGCTAGGTGATGGGTGTATGTGCGTACACCGGAGTATTCCTGATCCGTGTGAACTTTAGGCTACTATAAGAGTTGGGTTCTTTCATGCCTCGTTATACCCATATTTTCTCTACTTGTATGATCATTTGAGCTATGATTCGTGTTAGAAATCATGTCTATGCTCTGTATTTATTTGTTTGAGACATGATAGGGCTATTCTTACTGTTTTGAGTTGTTTGCCTTAATTGTAGTCATATTCTCAGTCATAATTCTTCATCGGCATGTTATATCTTAGTCTCTGTACATTATTTATTTGTCATATCACATGTGGTTGTTGCTTTCTATATGTGATACTCTATGGAATGAGTTCTATGATATGTGAGCCATTGAGACTTGAGCGGTTGATGTCTGATGTGGGCCATAGAGTCGTGATATAAGTTATATTGGATCGGGTTGCACGCCGCAACAGATTGATATTTGGATCGGGTTGCACGCTGCAACATATTGATATTTGGATCGGGATGAACGCCGCAACGATTATATTGATTATTGATTAACGCTTGGGCAAGGATCCGCCTCTCCGGAGTCTGATCTCAAGTGAGCGCTGGCATAGAGTTATACATGTGCTTTGGTGAAGGGCATTTGTGCCAGGCACTTGTATAGTGCTGAGTGTGGTTGTGTGTGAGATGGTGAGGGGCACTTGAGCCAGGCACCGTGAGTGTGCTGAGAGTGAGTGTACTTGATGATTTCACCATGATGTTACTGACTTTACATGTATATTTGACATGTAGGCATAGAGATGTATTTTTCTCATGCTAGCTGGTAAACGAAATGTCTTATCTGTTGTTGAAAGTTTGTAAAATCACGGTTTCCTTAATAAACTCGCATTTTGAGAAATTTCGATGAAAGATGGCTTTGACTGTTATACTTGGAAAGAATGTCTAATTTTTCGTAATTGTAAACGAGCAAAATATGATATCTTTTGAGTTATTTACTTTTACTGTCTTCACTATATTATGAGTTGTTGTTGATTATTGGTGCTGGATACTGACTTTCTTCTGAGCTCGTCACTACTTTCAGCCCGAGGTTATGTTTATTACTTATTGAATACATGGGGTTAGTTGTACTCGTACTCACTTTGCATGTTATGTGCAGATCCAGGTACTTCGGGGCTAGAGGTTTGCACCGATTTCAGCTTGTGGAGACTACGAGGTAGATGTTATGTCGTTCGCAGACCTTGAGAGCTTCTACGAGTGTGGAGAGTTGGGACATGTGAGGAATTATTGCCCATGTTTCCTCGGAGGTCCCGTGTAGTAGGGAGGCCAGACTATGACTCCCGCACCAGTTTCTACACCACCCATTGATCAGTCAGCTCGGGGTGGAGGTCATAAGGGACGAGGTCGCCCTAGAGGGTAGATGAGTTTAATGATGAAATAGGGTACACTAGTAGCCTACTTTTTACTAGTAGGGTGGCTGAAAGGACCATTTTCCTCCTTGCTTCTGCCCTATTAGGTTTCAGGTTGTCCTTTCACCTTTTGGATAGCCCTTGGGCAGTAATTTGGTACACAAAGTCAGTCTTTTTGGACACACTTTTGGTGAACCAAAATTTGTCCAAAAAAAAAATTGGATTTCTTTGCCTACTTAAGGGTTGTTCTTTCCTCACTTTACACACACACTCTATTACACTTAGAAGACATCTTTCACTCTGAGTTGAATACACATCTTTACATACTCTAAAAAAAACACATCTGAGAGATAGAAACATGAGCTGAAAAATATAAAAAGAAGCTGAACTTGAGAGCTTTTTTTTTCGTTGAGTGATAAACTGAGAACAAAAACTCTTTGAAACTTTCTTGTTCTTTGAAACTAGTATGGGTTTGTTTGGAGTTCTTTACCGGGCCGATTTGCTATTGTTTCGTCGCTGTTTCTGCTGTCTTTGTTGCTGAGTTTCTGCTCGTTCACTGTTGAATTTCATTTTGTTGCAAATCAGGTAACTCTTAAACCTTTGTATTGCAGATTCTTGATGACAATGAAAAAGATTTGAACTCGTTTGATTGGTGGAACATGTAATATCTGATTTTGTTCAAAGATAATTGTTACATCAGTGTTATAGCATGTAAATCTGTAGTATTTACCTATAGCTTTCATTTTTCTTTACAAAACAATACTTTGTTAGTGTTATTTAGTTGTTAAAGGTCCATTTCTTTTGTTTGCTTCATTTTTGTTAAGCTTAGTGAATGTTCCATCACCTATTTGTTCTTCTATCATATTATGTTTTCTTTAATTTATGTTTTCTCTGTTTGTTTATCTATTTTCATTATTTGTTACGTACTTTGAGTTGGATAATAGATTAGATGAAATTTTTAGTGTCTTGTGGCTCTATTGATAAGTGGTGAAAGGATTAATTTTGAAGTAAGGAAAGGTTCTGTATTAAGCTAAAAGTCAAGTAGATTCTTGGGTTAAGTTTGGTACAGTGGTTAATTTTTGTCCTGCGCCATTTCATCTCATGATTCGTTGTATTTATATTACAAATAAGCTGAGAGTTTTATCACTGTTATTTGCTCGCTGGGTTACTTTTAGGCTAACTGGACTGTAGTATTTATTTATTAGTAGTAATTAAATTAGTAGTAGGATTTTGGAATTAATGAGCCATGAGGTATCATGTAAAAGATAAAGTAATTGGGCCAAATAAATTAAGTCCAGGTCTGAAGCATTGAAGCATGCTAGCTAGCCAGTTATTCTTTTTTAAAATAACCATGTGGGCCAAATAAAATCCGAATTTCTGCCAGCCCAATTCCAACAAAGCTGGCTGGTTCATTATTTTTAAATATAGCAGGCCCATACTTTCAATAAAGATGGTCAATTTCCTTTAATAACCAGCAATTAGCCCAATGACTATTTAATTTCAAAAGGGGCCAATAGCCAAGTACCAAATAATTTAGCCCAATGGCCATATGATAAATAAAACGGGCCAGCTTTTCCAATACAAGTGAGTTGGCCCATCATTGATTCTCCATATTTTTTTTTATAATAAAATCCAAAAACAAAAATTAGTTTATTGTTTAACTAATTTAATAATTTAATTAGTTTAACGCTAGGCAACTGGTAGGCGCGCTTTAACTTTTTTCATTTACAAATTCGCATACGTAGCGTGATGTTTAACATTCAATAAATTAACTCAATAATCTCATATCATATCCAATAGCTTTAAAATAATTCCTAATTTAATTACTCCCCATAATCACGGATTCACTTGCGTAGCGCGATAATGACATTTAATAAATTTTAAAATTAATTTTCTCAAGCACAAATATAGTAATTTCTCAAAAGTATTATAAATAATTGATTGTCATGATTTTAGATTCGCTTGAGAGGCGCAATTATGATAAGTTAATTAATTTTGTTTCGATCACATATTTGTTTGCGAGGCGTGGTTATGACAACGTATTATTCAAATCATTCTTTAATAATTTTAATAAATAAAAGCAGATGGGTAAAACATGAAAATCAAATAAAAACACAGTTTGTCCAAAATTAATTCACGTCACGTTGTGGTTTAATAAAGCGACCATGTTAGAACCACGAGACTCGAAGAATGTCTTACACCTTCTCCCCGGTCAACAGAATTTCTTACCCGAACTTTGTTTTCGCAGACCAATGATAAAATAGTCAAATCTTCCTTTGAATAGGGATTCAAATAAAAGGTGACTTGGAACACCCAAAAATCAAATTCCAAATGGCGACTTTGAACAATAAAATAATCTCTATTTCAAATTGTCACTTTAATTGGAAAAACTCTTTAACCCACAACAATCCATAACATATATCTTTTGGGGTAAAAAAGGGTGTGACACTATGGGTTAGATAATAATCCCGTTGAGTTTTCCACTTAAATTGTCTTAATTTATCTGATTTATTAATTGACAAGGTATATTACTCATAGTATTCTCCCGAAATACTACTCGTCTATTCATGCTAACATAATGCCTATATTCCTATAGAATTAGGATTAACAAGAATGCATTAGTAATTCCTGTATAATAATCAAGCAAGACGATTAGGTATATCCATGCCCTAACCGCAAATCCATTCCTAATACTGAGGTTCAAGATCTTGCTCTACAATTATATATGCAATCTAGAATTCCCTCTCCCAAGTTCAATCCTAGTTTCATAGATAGTATTCAATTGGTAATCAAGCAATCAAATAATTAAGCGCAAGATTGAATAAATAAACCAATATGATGAAATAATAAGAACAATTCAAGCTTAAGACACAACGTTTATGTAGCACCCCACAACTCTAAAACTAATAAATTGTGAATTAATGGAAGTGAAGAGAAGAAAAACTAATTAGAAGCCTTCTCCGAGCGTGGTTTGTGTTCTCCCCTCCAATGTGACGTGTTCTCCTTCCAAACATATCTTAGATCCCCTCCAAATTAGGTGTAAGACCCATTTTATACGAATTGGGACCGTATAGAGCCGAAAAAACATTGTCCCGGACGAATAGGAAAACCCGCAACACAGCATCCAGACCGGCGCAAGGCGCTAGCCTAACGCTGGAAGTAGTGAGCTTTGCGATTTGAATCCTACATATGTCAGGTACGTTTTTTGCCTTCTTTCACTATTTGCTTTAAATTGTATTTCTCTTTCTTTCTTGTCTTCAACTTGGGGGCACAAATACCAAAAGGGTGTCCCACCTTTTTCTTCTAGTTTATTTTCCTTCTTTTTCTCGTTTTTTCCAATTTTGCTCCAAATCTTTTCATCTTCACACCGCTTTATTCCTACACAGTTAAAATATAACATTAAACATAAAGTAATATAACTAGTACTCAAAAGATGATTAAAAAATGTGAGACAGCAATGATTAAATATATGTATTTTTTACCGAACATCACATTCTTATATCATTTTGTAATTGTATTCATTGATGATATTTTGGTATATTCTCGAAGTGAAGCAGAACATGAACAACACCCCAAAGTTGTGCTACAAACACTTAGAGAGCGAAAACTTTATTTCAGTTCTCAAAATGTGGGTTTTGGTTGGGCATAGTTTTCTTTTTGGGACATGTAGTGTTACAAGATGGGATTCAAGTTGATCCAAAGAAGATAGAGGCAGTTCGAGATTGTCCTCGTGCCAATACTCCTACAAAAATTCGAAGCTTTTTGGGACTAGCCACATATTACAAAAGTTTTGTGGAGGGTTTCTCAAAGATAGCTCCATAAAGGTTTGTGGAGGGTTTCTCAAAGATAGCTCCATGTTGACACGATTGACTCGAAAAGGTGTTGCAATCTGGTGGTAAGCTGAGTGTGAAGAAAGTTTTCAGAAATTAAAGACTGCTTTGACTACGTCTCCAATTTTGAAATTACCTACAAGTACAAGCGATTTTACTATTTATTGTGATGCACCTTAAGTCGGATTGGGTTGTGTGTTGATGCAGAATGGCAAAGTGGTAGCTTATGCTTCTCGATAGCTAAAGAACCATGAAAAGAATTATCCGACTCACGACTTGGAATTGGTTGCGGTCGTATTTGCACTGAAGATTTGGCGTCACTATCTTTATGGTGATCGCATGAAACCTATACTGATCATAAAAGTATGCAATACATATTCAAGCAAAAACACTAGAACCTGATACATCAACGGTGGTTTAAATTACGTAAAAATTATGATCTTACTATTTTGTATTACCCTGGGAAGGCGAATATGATGGCAGACGCTGTGAGTAAAAATTCTAATTGTAGTTTTGCCCGATTCACAACAGAAGAGCGGCCTATGGTTATGAATATTCAGATATTGGATAATCAGGGAGTTCAAATTGATCATATAATGCCATGCAGGTTACTTGCGAGTATGGTGGCACAATCATCCTTTGATGGACAGGTCAAGGCTCGTTAATATGAGGATCCCCGTCTTGCTAGACTTTGAGATTGAGTGCAGAATGGTGGTGTTAAATCATTCATTGTTGATGGCGATGTGTGTTACGTCGACACAATAGACTATGTATTCTATGGTGGATGATAAATAATAGTTGATTTTTTGAAAAGGCTCATAGCTCCCGATACTCCATCCGCCCAGATGCTACGATAATGTATCAAGACTTGCGTGAATTGTACTAGTAGAAAGGTATAAAGGAAGATATTCTAAAACATGTGACTAGTTATGTAAAATATGAGCACTAAGAACCTGGTGAGGTAAAGCAAAACTTGGTTATTCGTGAGTGGAAGTGGGAGAGAATTACCATGAATTTTTTAATTGGCTTGCCACATACTTTTAAAAAAACATGATTCAATTTGGGTGATCATGGACAGTCTCATGGAGTCTACACATTTCATACTGGTTCGAATTACTCATACCACAGAATAGTTAGCAAATATTTACCTCCATGAGATAGTTCGGCTTTATGGTGTGCCTATTTCTATAATATCATATCGTGGTGTACAATTCACTGCTGAGTTTTGGAAATCCTTTCAGAAGTCGTTAAAATTCACAGATTGAGTTAGGCACAACTTTTCATCTGCAAATGAACGGACAGTTCGAACGGGTTATCCAGATCTTGGCAGACATGCTTAGAGCTTGTGCGATTGATTTTGGTGGTCATTGGGACAATCAGTTGTCGTTTACATAGTTTGCTTATAATAATAACTACCAATCAAGTATACCGATGGCACCATTTGAAACTCTATATGGTCGCAAGTGTCGTTCACCAGTTGGATAGTTTGAACCTAGTGAAGCACAACTATTGGGTCCGAATTTGGTTCAGCAAGCTTTGGAGAAAGTAACATTAATACGAGAACGGCTTCGGACAGCACAAAGTAAACAAAAGTCGTATATAGAGAAGAAAGTTTGTGATTTGTAGTTCATGAAGGGCGAAAAAGTCTTTTTGAAGGTGTCCTTTACCAAAAGGAGTCGTGAGATTCGAACAGAAAGGCAAGCTAAGTTCGAGGTATATTGGTCAGTATGAGATTTTAGATTGATCGGGTCGGTTGCGTATAGACTTACTTTACCTCCGAGGTTATACGTTGTTCATCACGTATTCCATGTGTCTATGCTTAGACGATATATTCGTGACGATAGCCATAAGATTCAGCTCGAAGTTGTGGAGCTTGATAAAAACTCAACTTATGAAAAAGGTCCGATAGCTATTCTTTATAAGGAAGTGCAACAATTCTTGATAAGCAAGTGCAACTTAAAGTAATATGGCACAACCATCCGACAGAGGAAGCTATATGGGAGCCGAGGCAGACATACAAAATACGTACCCGTAATTGTGTATGCTTTTATACATCACTGCATTATGTATGCTTCTTGATATAATTGGAGCATTGTGTATGCTTCAATGGGGTAATGTGTATGCTCCATCATATATTTGAAGCATTATGGTGCCATCGTGGACTCAATGTTGGTTAATTTCCTTCACTATCATTTATGACAAGTCCTTAGTGTAATATGTTGAAATGTGTGTACTCTTGTTAGGTAATATTAACTCTATTAATACATATATATTGTGTTGTTGTATAACTATTGTGCTTATTATATCATGTTTGTTGTGGTATGGTTTTGTATTTTTTAATACTTGTTTCAAGGGTAGATCGAGAATCTTACTGGGTTATGCATATCATTCACTCCTTAGCTGCATGTCCATGTAGATACAATTGCTAGGGACGAGACTAGTAGCTGACGAGCTTGTTCAAGGTGATTCTATTGGTGAAATGATGGCCTCCGCGATAAAGTCATGTTAGTGTGGAATTGGGCTCGAAATATATTGTTTGAGTGCTCGTTGATTTTTTCTATCGATCAATTAAGGATTTGATTGGATAAATATTTCCCATTAAATAATTATTAATGAGTTTGAACTTGTATAAAATTGGTTCGCCTGGGGTGGTGTTAAATGGGTGCCAATCAAATCTAGAGGATAGTTTGGGACGTGATAAAACTAATCATGAACTCCGAGAAGGCTTATCACCACCTAACCTTTTTCTCGAAGGTTTTGCCAAGTGAGGTGAGAGCAAAAGTAGAAGGTACTACCGTCTAAATGGCCAAGATTAATGAGAAGGGGCACCGTTTAAAATGTCAAAACAATTTCGTGAAGTGAAGCTGCCCATTAAAACTGCAGTTTTCATTTACCCTTTATAGCGGCAATCCACCTTTAAGCTTTAGATTAGGTTGTGATCTGAGCTTTAGATTAATCCTCCTTAAGCATCTTCCGAGTCCACTTTGTTGATATCATCCACATCCACATCCACATCCACATCATCTATGGGTATATCTTCACTCTCGTAATCAAAGGAACCTGAAAATGCAGCAAAACTAGGTAAAGATCACACCCAAAATATTAAAGTCTACTTATATTTAGAAAAAGCATGCAGCTCTTCTAGAATAAAATATATACATCAAACTAGAAATAGGAGACTCGAATGTGGACTCTAGCATACAAGATATCTCTATGCTAAAAACACGTCAGCTATACTTGGTTAAATTGCAGAGTACCCGTGTTGAGAGTATAAAAGGACATTACAGAAAAGAAAATGTGAGTGCATATAAGGTAATATCCACAGTTTTTACTCAGCAGAAGGTCTCTACAGCTGCAGATAATGCAAATTTTGAATCAATCAAGTAAGGCAATTCAAAAAAAAAAAAAAAAAAAAAACATGACTAACCTAAATATTTGTAGTTCTAACAAGGAACGCAGGTAAAAGCTATCACTCTTCAAAGGACTACGTATAAGATTTTTGCTTGTCAGTTCTTAATGTACACGTAATGTACCTAAACTAACCAGAGCTTAAGCTTTAGCATCAGTTCATTCTTGCACTAGTTAATTGAATCCTTAGCCACGGCCCACGGTCAAACACATTATATATTCAATTGTACTCTAAGATGGCTCTATATTTTACGCCAGAGAATTGTTTTTCAGGAGGAAAAGTGTGAAGGCTCTATATTATATGTCAGAGAATCGTTGTCCAGGGGAGGAAATGTAAATAACCACTAATTCAAGTGTTAGAACTTGTGGTTTCTTCTCTTCCCATGTCATAATAAACAAAGAGTAGTAAAACTTCAACCATTATCAGTTGAATACAGATAATGGATCATAAATCACAAGACTAAATAATTTTTCCGGTTAAATAGAGGAAGAACATTTACATCCTGAAACAAATGAGGCTGTACCTGCAGCAGGCTCCCTTGATTCTGGCATTTTATTAAGAACATACTCGAGTTCTAGAAACTGTAATAGAGCTTCTGTCTGAGGGTTTTTATAGAAACCTGTGAAGGAAACAGAAAGGTGAGAAAATCAACATCCACTGCTATAAACTATCTTACAACGTACCACTAGGTAGAGAAAAAGAACTATAACTGCAGAAGTTAATCTTGTATCTGATAGTTCGAGACTCATACTGTCCATGCCAAAGAAACATTAAAAATGGGAAAATCCATTGGTTTCTCTCTGGAACAGTTGCGAAACGGAAATGATAACAACACAGGAAGTTAACACCACCATTTGCAGCAAAGCTTGGACACATATAATACGACTAAAACACTGGTATTACGAAAGCTGCAACAGGTGTACATAAAGAAACGCTCCTTTGTATTCACCAGAGAAAATCACTGACCAAATCACTTTATGGTTAAAAGAAGTCAGATAATTAGGAGCAAAGATAGATATTGATCGGCGATATAAAAGGGGATGAAGTGGCTTTAAGAATAAAACAACTCAACAACAACAACATTATACCCGGTATATTCCCACAAGTGGGGTATGGTAAGGGTAGTGTGTACGCAGACCTTACCTTACCTTATGCAGGTAGAGAGGCAGTTTCCGAAAGACCCTCGACTCAGGTAAGCATAGTATCAGTAAAGAAATGCAATAATGAAAATGAACAAGTCATGAAAAGGAAACATAAGCAATAGCGGGATAAAAGCAATATCAAGTAATAATATAAATCCAAGGATAAGACACAACTCGAGTAATACTAAAGCTACCGGTATGTAAGGATAATCCGCTAGACTACCTAAAGGATAATCCGCTATACTGCCTACTAAACTTCTACTCTAATCTTTGACCTCCACAACTTTCTATTAAGGATCATATCCTCAGTAAGCTGAAGATGCGTCATATTATGCCTAATCACTTTTCCCCAATACTTCTTAGGTCTTCCTCTACCCTTCTTAGTTCTTAGACCCACCGTGTGTAACCTCTCACACCTTCTCACTGGGGCATCTGGGCATCTCCTCCTCACATGCTCGTATCATCTCAGTCTCATTTCCCGCAACTCATCCTCCATGAGGGCTCACCTTGTCCACGAATGTCTTCATTCCTAATCATGTCTCTCCTAGTATGCTCACACATCTACCTCAACATTCTCAGTTCCGCTATTTCAACTTCTGGACATCAAAGTTCTTAACTGGCCAACACTTAATACAACATAGTCGGTCTAACCACCACCAGAGGCGGATCTACCTTAGGCGAAGCGGTGTCATGACACCGCTTCGCCAGAAAAACATGTACATATAATTAAAATGCAGAAATGAAAATAGGTTAAATAAAGTAAACGTGAGACCACTTGACACATTGCCTTTGTAGCAGATTTGGTCAAGCGCCGCAGATGTTTGGGAGATGTCAGGGGTTCGAAACCAGACAGCTTCATTTTCTGTTTTAAATTGTTTTTTGTGTCATGTATGAAATAGAAACTGCGTTCGGTGGAGTTTGAACGACTGACCTATTAGTGTTATGAGAGAGACTCTCGACCAATATGTCAAGAGTCAAATTTGGTTAATATAGCGATAATAAATTATTTGGTTGGTATTTCAAGTTTTTTTTAATCATCTTTTTGTCCTTTCCTCTTCTCTCCCGGCATGAAATTGATTAAGAACGATTTGTGGAATCAAATAAATGATTATTTTTGTGTGTGATTTCTTGGTCCTTTATATAAAAAAGGTATTTAATATTATTCCTAATGAGGTTATTTTGATACATTTTTATAAATGAAAATTCATCGATAAGAGTTGTCGTAATATACCTGAATTGTGGTTTATTATTATGATTTGAACGGTGTTTTTTTAAGTATGATATTGTTAAACTGAATTGTTAGTCGTTCACTACTAAAAAATTGTGACACTGCTTACGAAAAATCTTGTGTACGCCACTGACCATCACTCTGTATAACTTACCTTTAAGTTTTGGTGGCAACTTCTTATCACATAAGACACGGGAAGCAAGCCTCCATTTTATCCATCTTGCTCCAATACGGTGTGTGACATCCTCATCGATCTCCCCATTACCTTGGATTACTGACCCAAGATACTTGAAACTACCCCGCTTGGGGATGACTTAAGTATCAAGCCTGACCTCCACTACATCCTCATGAGTTAAGCCGTTGAACTTGCACTCCATGTACTCTGTCTTAGTCCTGCTCAACTTGAACCCTTTAGATTCCAGGGTTGTCTCCAAAACCTCCAGCTTGGCATTAACTCCACCTCGCGTCTCGCCAATCTATACTATATCATCTACAAATAACATGCACCATGGCACCTCCCTTGAATGTGATGCGTCAATACATCCATCATCACGACGAATAGGAACGGGCTAAGTGTTTGATCTCTGGTGTAACCCCATCATGACCGGGAAGTATCCTGAATCTCCTCCTATTGCCCTAACCCGGGTCTTAGCTCCATTGTACATATCTTTAATCGCTCGAATGTACGCTATAGGGACACCTCTCGTCTCCAAACACCTCCATAAAACTTCTTTTGGAACTTTATCGTATGTTGTCTCCAGATCAATGAACACGTGCCTTAGCAGCTTAATACTCCTGTAATTGTCGCAGATCATCGTACTCCACCTCTATTTCATCCATCATGCTCCAATACGGTGTGTGACATCCTCATCGATCTCCCCATTACATTGGATTAATGACCCAAGATACTTGAAACTACTCTGCTTGGGGATGACTTGAGTATCAAGCCTCACCTCCACTAAATCCTCATGAGTTAAGCCGTTGAACTTGCACTCCATGTACTCTGTTTTAGTCCTGCTCAACTTGAACCATTTAGATTCCAAGGTTGTCTCCAAACCTCCAGCTTGGCGTTAACTCCACCTCGCGTCTCGCCAATCAATACTATATCATCTGCAAAATAACATGCACCATGACACCTCCCTTGAATGTGTCGCGTCAATACATCCATCACCACGACTAATAGGAACGGGCTACGTGTTGATCCCTGGTGTAACCCCATCATGACCGGGAAGTATCCCGAGTCTCCTCCTATTGCCCTAACCCGGGTCTTAGCTCCACTATACATATCCTTAATCGCTCTAATGTACGCTATAGGGAAACCTCTCGCCTCCAAACACCTCCATAAAACTTCTCTTGGAACTTTATCGTATGTTGTCTCCAGATCAATGAACGGCTTAGTTCCACAAACCTCCATACAAGCCTCTCTTTCTCTCCCTATAATGTTCCACAAACCTCCTTATAAGATGAATGGCTTTTGTGGGTGACCGCCCCGGCATGAATCCAAATTAGTTCTCGAATATAGACACTCCCCTCCTTACCCTCATATCTCCACCACCATCTCCCAAACTTTCATAGAGTGGCTTAGCAGCTTGATACTCCTGTAATTGTTGCAATTTTGGATATCTCCCTTGTTCTTATACAACGGGATCATCGTACTCCACCTCTATTCTTCGGGCATTTTGGATGGCCTAAAAATAACATTAAACAGGCTTGTGAGCCACTCCAAACCTGCCTTACCCACGCTCTTCCAAAACTCCACCGGAATCTCGTCGGACCCGGTCGCTCTTCCCCTGTTCATCCTATGCATAGCCCACTCCGCCTCTTTGGCCTTTATCCGCCTATAATACCCAAAATCTAGGCAACTCTTGGAGTGCTCCAGATCACCTAGCACAATGTTCCAATCCCCCTCGTTCAAGAGTCTATGAAAGTACGTTTGCTATCTTCGTCTAATAAGCGCATCTTCTACCAATACTTCTTCTTCTTCGTCTTTGATGCACTTCACTTGATCTAGGTCGTGGGCCTTCCTCTCTCTCACCTTGGCTAGCTTATATAGCTTCATGTCCCCGCCTTTCCCCTCAAGTTCTTCATACAAGCGTCCAAACGCTGATGTCTTTGTTGACGTAACCGCTAACTTTTCTTCCCTCTTAGCCGTCTTGTACCACTCCATGTTCGTCCTCTCCTCCTCGTCTTTGCTCTTTAACAACTTCAAATGCGCCGCCTTCTTAAGAATAAAACAACTCGATGCTGTAATTAGTGATAGACCAACAAGTAGAGCAACACCTTTTTAATGTTCTCGTGTGACCACCGTCTGAACGAATACTTCATTTCAAATATCATTGTTCAAGTTTACAGTTTTAAGAGAAAACCAATTATTTAGAATGCACGGGAGTACAGATTGCTCAATGACAAGTAAGGTCATAAATTACTTTTTGGTTAATTTAGATGTTTGGAAGTCTTACAGTGAGATTCACAGCTTTTAACTGTATATCATAAGTGGAAGAGTATTATGCTTTAAGAAAGATAGACATTAGTTTGGCCTGGTAAAAATGGAAAGCATGGCATTCAATTTGAAATAGTATTATGGTTAACTGTATTCAGAGATTTCAAAATGAAGATACCAGTGAGCTTCTACTGGACAGATTTCTATCTCACTTGTTCAATAGTTCCAAATAAACTCATTTTTTATTCTAGAAGACGATGACAGACACTCAATCAACTGCACCAAGCATCTTATGACACAAAAGAAAGTAAGCACATAGATAATGTCCTGGTATACAGATCATCACCGTGGAAGACACCATTAGCAACAGGGTGATAAGGATTGTAGCATGGTGCAGTCTGAACAAATTCAAACGGTTTGGATCCTCTTGTCTGCAGCTTATTTCTTACAAACTGGTGGCATTCTTCTGTGTCGAGATGTACATCACTACAATAAAAAAGGAGGGAGTTGTGTACAAGCTGATTTCCTGAAATACAATAAAAAACAGAACTAAGAAATGTACATACCTATAGTTTGCACTCCTGATTGTCAAGGGCAAGACAGCATTATACTTTCTTGTGATTGCCAACCATTCTTCATCAAATTGAAGTTCATGAGGTCCTGGTCCGGACTCAATTTCAATAACCTATGAAGCTCAGCCACCCAAATCAAAACATTAACTTTATGTGTGAACTGTAGAAAAGGTCCGTAAACAACGGGGTGCAGAGAAATACCTGTAAAAACTTTCTACCAGGGAGGCACTTGTCGAGGGCAAGAAACTTTGTGGAAGGACCATCCTTCTCATGCTGAACTAAAGCAGCAAATTTGCAGTGCAGATGTGCAGAAAACCAGTAAGAAGGCGTCAACTTTGCCAGTAATTCTGCAGCAGGTCTGCTTCCCAGAGTTCCTTCCTGAATCTGAAAGACTACATATCTTAAATTATCAGAGCATTAAGGGATCGAAAAAATAAAGTAAAAAAGAATTCTGGACTTCAGAAGACAAATAACAAGCACAAAGTCAAAGAAATGTACACATATATATGTGCTACTTATGGCTTCAACACAATTTCTATCAACATAACAGATATCTAGATATGTTCTTGGCGTAGAGAACTAAACTAACAGGAAGTCCAAGGATAACAAAATATTAGACCAAAGAGTCGTCCATTTAAATGTGAAAGGGAAGAAAACAAGTGAGAGTTGAGACAATCAGGTTGCTCCAGGCGATAAAACACTCCACTCCAACCAACCAAGAGGTTGGCAGTTCGAGTCACCAAGGGAGCAAAGTGGGTTCTTGGTAGCAGCCATTCTTGACTTACAAGGAGGAGGTTTGGGAGGTGGGGTTTACTATATCCGGGGAACCAAAAAAAAAAGGCAGTAGTAGTGGTCTAGGACGTGCTGAACCTCCTAGAAAGGAATGCCATGGAAAAACCACTAACTTAACCTGGAGGCAGAAAAGCACACTACACATGACTTTAGTAGGGAGCTGAAATATTTGCAGATGACAAAATGCACCAACCAACTACATATCTTGTACACCTGCAAGATTTTTCTATTTTTTTTCATTAGAAAAATTGGAACTTGATCTGTGATCACAAGAATGTCTCCAGCAAATGGCATACCAACATTTACTCCAGATGTGCAATTACAGCCATTGAGCAATTTGAAACAAAATGAAAAGGGAAGTCCAATGAGCGTCATTAGATAGTGTTCGGATTAAATAACAACCAAAGGTGCAACTTGGGTCTATTTGCAATACTCAAGAAAATTGAGTATTGCGCTGTGTCATGAACCATTTGTAATGTAAGCATACTCAACACTTCTACGGCTAAGTTACTGCTAGTATTGTCAAAGGCGCGCTTAAGCCCTGAAGCGAGGCTCAAAACATGTTGAGCGCTTCGCCTCGCCTTGTGGGCGCTTTAGTATCGCATCAAGGCTCTAAGGCATACTATTCCTTGCCAATGAGTGTAATCATGAAAAGACGACATTAAACAATTAATATTTCACTTTATCATAATTTTTTTCCAATTTCTTTGTACGTATATTTGTTTTTCATGCTTATAATTATTAGTCTTGAACTACACATACATATTTTTACTTTTTCTCCAGTTGCGCCTTTTTCATTAAAGCCCACGCTTTATTTGCGCTTAAAGCCCCAACGGACCTAAGAGCTTTTTTGCGCTTTTCGCCTTTGATAACATTGGTACTGCATATGATGATGACTATAAATTGAATAAAGAAATTTTGTCTAGTATTATTAGAGAGAAAGTGCTTTCAAATATTGGTAAAAATCAACTATGACCTGAAACAAGCAGACTGTTGTAGACGAGAAGAAAAACAAGGCCTCTCATTCCACAGAGGATAGCTTTTAGGCATGTACTCATTTAGGAATTTTGAGCAACAAGGTCAAGCAAAATGCACCACAACCACATATAAGCAGAGTTATAAACCTTTTTCCTTAGAACAGCCAACAGTCCTAGCTTTACTTAAGAGTAGTTCCTTCAAAGTCGATGTAAAGAAGGAACAAATTCAACAAGGATGGAAGATATTTCTCCTCCTAATTGTGATTAAGCCATGTCAAAGGGCTTAGATTCTAGCAGAGACCAGATTAATCATTTTCCAAGAGAAAAGTGTTTACTCAGGGATGCCACAACAGAAAGAGGAGGAGGCAACAAAAAGAAAGAATGCTTCAAGTAAAGAATATGAAAGTCATAAAATATTCTCTCAGTTATTTACCGAAGAATGGTGTTGTTTTTATACAGAGAGATAGCTATCAAAAATACGAAATAAGAATAAATCAAATAACTTGATTACAGCAATTACGAAGAAAGAGAATCAATAGAAATGGTAACAATATCAGCCAGCTGGAGCTAGTCTGGAGCTAGCATAGATGTTTCCTTATTACGCCCCCTCAAGATGGTGAGTCGGACAGAAACACCAATCTTGGATCGAATCTTCTCAAAGGTAGTACGAGACAAAGATTTGGTAAGAGCATAAGCTAGTTGATCAGCAGAGGAGATATGGGAAACACGAAGCACATCGGCTTGAATCTTGGAGCGAACGAAGAGATAATCTACTTCGATGTGCTTCATACGAGAACAGAAGACTGGATTAGCACAGAGATTAGTAGCTCCTTGAGATCTGTCTCCCCTTTAAAAAGGCATTTTGATATCCTAAAAACAGGTTCCCCATCACCCTTCTGAGTCACAATCTTGTAGACATTTCCTATGAGGCTAATAGGTCTGAAATCTTTGAGTTGAATTGCTCATTTCCTTTTAGGAATAAGTGCTATGAATGAGGCATTAAAGGACTTGACCATGTGGCGGTGATTGTGAAATTGATTAAGAGTCCCCATGACATCCTGCCTAATAGTATCCCAACATTTTTGATAAAAAGCCATAGTCAGTCCATCAGGTCCAGGGCTTTTATCAGGTGCACAACAATTGATTGCATTTACTACTTCCTCCTCTTCAAAAGCAGCTTCCAGAGCGTCCTTCTGCTTAGCGTCCAGGCTTCCCAGTCCTTCAAAAGTAGCATTAGGCCTCCAGCTCTCATTCTCAGAGTAAAGCTCCTTGTAGAAGCCCAGAATCCCACTTTTGATTTGTTCCTTGTCTTCAATTATATCATCTCCTACTTGTAACCTGTCAATACAATTGTATCTCCTATTAGAGTTGGCAATTCTTTGAAAGTATTTAGTATTCATGTCCCCCTCCTTCAACCATAAGTATCTAGATTTTTGCCTCCATGATATCTCTTCAGCTTTGGCTAACTATTGAAGCTCCATCTTCAATTGCATGATCTTGCTAGATTCAGCTTGTGTTAGCCTTCCTTCAGTTGCCTACTCCATTAGTAACAATTCTTCTAGAGCTTTATGTGTTCTTGTGCTTACTTTTCAAAATATCTCCTTGTTCCAGGTAACCAAATCCTTCTTCAACAGCTTCAGCTTTTGGGATAGAATAAAATCTGGAGAGCCATTCACCACATATCCCTACCACCATTGCTTGATCAAATCACCAAATCCCTCATGTTGAAGCCACATGTTTTCAAATTTGAAATAAGAGGACTCAGCAGTCCAATCACCACATTCCAGAACTAAAGGTCTATGGTCTGATACTACTTTGGGGAGAGCTCTCTGATGAACCAAGTCAAATGAATCATTCCACTCGGTAGAGATTAGGAACCTATCAATTCTAGAAGCCTGCAATGAGTTTTCACCCCTAGCCCATGCGTAAAAAGCTCCTTGCAAAGGAAGGTCCACCAAACCCATGTCTTGAATGAAATCAGAGAAAACCTTCATAGCCCTTGTTCTCCTAATGCAGTTGAGTCTTTCATCTAAAAGCGACATACATTAAAATCTCCACCTATTACCCAGCTGTCATTCCATAATCCTCTAACTACGGCTAGTTCTTCCCAGAATTCTACCCTCCCAATTGGAGCGAGGGCCATATACCCCTGTAAAACAAAATCTAAAGTCAACTTGTACCCCCTCCAACATTGTAGAAATAGAATATTTCCCTTGTTGTGATTCAATGCAAGTCCATTGTCTTTTGTCCCATATGATGATAATTCCTTCACTTCTGCCACTAGCATTCAATTCTGCCCATCCTACCCATCTTGAACCCCAAAGATCTCTAACTACAGCTACAGAGCAACTTTCAGTTTTTGTTTCCTGTAAACACAATAAATCAGGTTTCCATTTTTTAATGAGAGACTTTATAGTACTTCTCTTGCTCGTATCATTGAGCCCACATATGTTCCAACCGATTAATTTCGCTTTCGTTCTGAGAAAGCCTTGTGATACCTGCCCCTAACCGACCCTTCTCCCTTTTCATATGTAACAGTGCATACCAGCTTCTTGGTTTCTTTTTCCCCCTTCTTCTTGGATTTCTTCTCCCCATTTTTCTCCTCCCTTTGCAGTAGCTTTTGGGCTTGCCTCTTATGCTCCATTCTAACAATCATATCAAAAATTTCACGCTCGAAGCCCGTAGAATGGACTCCGAAAGCCTTGCATGCTTTGGTCATAGCAACCTTGGTCCAATGAGAGGTCTCAATAACCTGAGGTGAGTTGATTAAATGTTGCCCTTGAGAGTTCCCCTCATACCATGGTAAGGGCAGGAGCTCGCTACCCGAAAGAGAAGACACATCTGAGTCGTTAAATCTGACCATGGAGAAATTTGGATAAGGAAAAGATTTGGTGAGAGAAAGAGATTGCATGAGTTCAGCTTCATCGTCTGCGTCTTCTTCACCTTGGTCTGAGTATTCAGAGTTGCACCTAATATCGGGTACCAGCTGATTTGTGACTCCCTTTTGTAAAGGCAGACCTGGGGTTTTTGAGAGCTGTTGAAGTTGGGCCGACCAGTGGCTCTCCATTCCATCAGCTTCTTCTTTTTAATAAAAGAGTTGGGCCTCTTTCCTTTCTTCTCTTTTGAGTAATAGTGGTGGCCCATTAGTAAATGAAAATTGACCTGATTGTTGGCTTTAGTATGGACCGGGTTGTGAGATGGGCCAGCCTGAGAATTTGATTCAAATTTTAAATCAACTGGCGTGGATTTCATAGCGTTTAACTCTTTGGACCTTTGGTCTCTCATGTGTGACCTTCTGCCCTTTCCGTCGCCGGCTATCTTGACATGCCCGTCTAGAATAATTGAGATTTCAAAGACCATATCACCCACAGCCAAATCGATCTTGCAAGGAGGTTCTGAATCTGAATCCTTGATGCAGATGCGAGCCCAGAGGTGATTACTCTTTTTCTTCGTATCTTCATCGGAATCTATATAGCCACCACATTCATCGCCGATGAACTTTAGGATTTTCTCATACCACTCATGCAATGGGATGCCAAAAGCCCTAATCCATCGGTGACCTGATATTTGCTCTGAAATTTTAAGATCCAAGACCGGTGACCACCAATCTAGAGA